AAAAGTATTTTTAATCTTAACATGAAAATCACTTTGAACACAGACTATTCAAAACAAATACTCAATATATTCATGGACAAATCTTTATTTTAGTTTATTAAAAATACTTCACTAAAAATAAGATTTTTTGTAAGTGAAAGATTTATAATGTTAACTGAAAGACTGCCAAATTTTGTAAAGATTTGCACACTATATTGAAAGTTAGAAGTATTAATCTATAAAGACTTCAATCAAGTACAAAGAGGTCATGTGGTAAGTAAAATTGACTGAGCCCATGCCGAGAGAGTTAAGCTGTTGATGACTTTAATAAATATATTTGTTTTACAATAAAATGTTGTAGTTTGATTTGCAATTAAGTATTTCATTTTACAAATACACAACTGCTGATGATTTATAAATAAAATTTGGTAAGTCTGAGGGGAATACCTTTACTTCATGATAATTTAAAAATTACCAACTCACATGGCAGTGCTCTAGAATGGGACATTAGAACATATGTGCCCATGGCAGTTCAGAGAGCTAAACTGCATGAAAACATTCAAGTTTACTTACATGTTAATCTACAACAGAATAACAAAATAAAGTATAAAAAATAATGAAAATGTCCAAGTAACGATGCCAACATGTAAACCACACATTAATTACTGTAATTGTAAATTATTTCTCATATTTAATCTATTGCAATTTATAAACAAAACACTATCCACTCATTGGCATTTCAGTGGCCTTAACTAAAATAAAGTACAATACAAATGTTTTATACCTTTACTTGTGAATTTTATAAAACTAAAGTGAGATAAGTAAATGGTTATTCATAATTAGCTTTACTAATAGGGAGCTTGAAAGCATACATGTATGTTTATTTTGCTGATAAAACTGAACAAATTCCTTAAAGATCTGCAATAAACTTTTAATTTGATTTGGATGAAAATGAACAATTTTATAACAAATAAAAACATAAACAAAATTTGATCTGATAAGACTGAAAATCATTACATATAACCATACAACAGTATTTTTTTTTTAAATTTTTTAGACACAATTTTTTCCCCTGGCGCATAATTATTGTTTTTGAAGAAAGAAACTAATTTTTACAGTACAGCAATAATGTTTTGAACGGATAAAAAAAAACTACTTGTAGATAGAATCCTTCTTTATTTGCAAAATACAAAATTATTATCTCCAACTAGAGCTTGGCAATTTAGTTGATTAACCCTGTAAAGACAATATGGTCAAAGTGTATCAGAGTTACATTCAAAATGTAATTAAACAACTTTATTATCAATATACCTCAATCAAACTGGTATCAAAGTGTAGTTTATAATTCAACTTTTAAAACTATGTCTTAATTTCAAATGGAAATATAAAACATTTTTAAAGCTTCACTATTCTTCATCACGTGAGAAATCTGGCTTAAATTACTCCTTTATGCTTATGCTGCTGAGACTTAAATCTAATTAGAAACAAAAATTGTTTATAACAACAAGCAAGAATTTAAAATTTGGATCTCCTACCTTCTTGATTTGCTGAGATGTTAATATATTTTTGAAATTTACTGGAAGCCCTCTCATTTTTTTTGAGCATTTCAAGCCAATTATTATATCACTTTACTTGTTTAATGGATGTTTATATCCAATAGAAAAGAGCATATTATAATGTACAGGAACACTAAGACTGGTTGTTTATATATATGACAATTAAAGCAAGAAAAAGCTCAATGTGTTTGCTCCTAGCAGTAATGGAATTTTTTAAACCAATTTAAAGCATAGTTAGAAAGCCAGATGAATTATAGTAGTTTCAGAACATTCTATTCTAGTGACCGATCTATTTTGTGTGTCCTAAAATGCATATTTGTAAGCCACATGAATTAATTTTGGATAACCAACATAATAAGAAAAAAGTAGGGTTACTAAAGCACAACTAATCTTATGATATCTCTAATGTTTATATTTTAGTTACTTTTGTTAAGACATATAAAACAACAATTGAAAATATATACAGAAATGAAGAAATTTAGCATTTACTTTGGCTGTGAGGCCTTTTGCGCTTGAGTGCATGGTTTAGCAAGACTATTTCACTATGTTGGTTGTCCAAAAATAATTCATGTAGCTTTCAGACATGCATCTTAAAACCCCAAAAATATATCAAGCACAAGGATAGAATCTGGAGAAGTTATATGTTAAAGACATACACTCTTACTTGTTAACAACAGGAAACACACTCATGCAATTCATTAGTAAATAGCTGAAACATTTACATGTATCTTATAACACAAAAAAATTCTCATTTATAAACTGAGTAATTATGAATATAATAATGGCATGGTCCAATCTTAAATTGTACATTTCTATGACTATAACATCAAAACTCAAAACAAAGAAGTTTCCTTCCTTTGATACAAAAAAGAAAAAAGTACTTTTAACATTACATAATTTCAGAGGCTCAACCAAGTAAAATTAATTTTTATTACTAAGTATTGCAAATATTTTATTATTATGATATATATATATACTGAAAAATGTTTTAAATCCCAATTTTTTGAAGGTCTCTTCTATTATTTTTATTGGTGATTAGCTGGCTTAACAATTTGCTAAACTTACCTACGACGTTTTTCTACTTTTTCACGATCTTTGTCCTGTTTCTTGATATCAACTGATAACTTAACAGGTTCTTCTTCAATTCCCATAATTCTCTGAAATATTTTCCCTGAAAACACAAAAATCATCAGACACTTACTTTAGCCTCATTTCCAATTTAACAACAAAATTAAATATACTATACATTAAATACTTCAGTACACAAAATTTTGTACAATGACTCCATACATATGCAAGACAAAATTTAGATTTAAAGTTAATCAATTCCAACAGGAAATATCACAGTATCATTTCATTTTCCCACAGTCAATCAAGTTTCATGAGAAAAATGTTTTCTGTTAGCTATGCTAATCAGAGATTCAGAATTAATGGTACATATTTATTCATTGTTACCCCATGTTCTTTAACTTTACACAGCTCCATTTAATAAAACGACTAGCTTCTGAGAATAAATACAAGAATCTGAGTGTCTACAAAATAGTGTTTAAAAAGATTGTTAATAATATCAGCAACAAATGGTTAGAAGGGAATGAAAACTTATATTTCAGGCAGTTTACTAGAAACATTAACACTGGTAATAATTCATATAAACCCAACAGATTTTGTTAACATTAAGTTATGGACAATCAGCAATAAGGTTGTTACTTCCAATTTCTGATCTTAATTCTGGCAGATGAGATAACAAAACCATTTAGTTTAGAAACTTTTCCTTTGGAGGCAAACTGGACACCCTTCTGAACAAAGAAAGCATTTGGGGTCTATATTTTGTCCTGATAAATTTCTTCCATAAGAAAAATATAATTGCTGCATTAGTAAACTACACTTTGGCAATATGTGATGATCAAAATAAGTTGTCTGTGTGGGGTTTGATAAACTTACTTTGTAGTGTACTGTTCTAAAGTAACTGGAAGGAAAATGATAGACTTAAGATGAAATCACATCAGCCCTTCTTAATACGTTCTATTAAATCTGTAGCCAGCCACTGGGTGTCCACACTCCCAAAAGCAATTATGAGTTGAGTATGTCCAACTCAATAGTTCATCTATTAATTCTTTCCATACTAAGTATTTCTAATGTACCCTGCCAGTTGGCATTGTCAACATATGTAATTATTTCAAAAAAAAACAGCAATAAAAAATGTTGAATCATTTAATTAAAAAATTCAGAAAATCTAGCTCAAAACTTCAAATGAGGTATCTATCTACTACTATTATTGCCAGTTATATAATAAAATCAACCACTGTATATGTGACAAGCATATGTCCTTAAACTGTTGCCATAAAGGTTTCTTGTGGTTAGTTCCCCTGATGTCTGATACCTGAATTAATCACAGTTTAACACTTTTGTTTTGACAATCATAATTACTGCTATTGCCATAATGTATATTGTGTAAATATGCAACTGATTATTCATTTAGCTAAACAAATTATAATAAGTGCTCAAAAAGTCTACATTTTATCAAAAGAATGTTGCATAGTTAGGATGCATGAATTGTTTTCTTTCTATAAACAATTAAAGAAATGCAGAGTTCCATTACAGCAAACACCATAAACAGCTGATCACATTGCATATCATAGAACAGATACCTTTACGTTACTAAAAACTTGAATGGCAAACATCTGAATTGGAATCAGCTTGTAAAGAGTTAAAAGTAGATATAAAACACGTTCCAGCAACAAAATAGATATTTCATTTCAAACTCAAGTTGCAACTGGCTTTTAATGTACTCAAGATGACAAAAAGTATCCATTAATTTATAATAAAATGTATTTTGAATAGTAGTTTAAGTGTTTAATTAAGTTAATGGAATAAATAATATTACATTGTCTTCTACAAAAGAAAAAAAAGCAATGAATATAAATAGTGAAATTAAGAATAGGCTCACCATACTTTTAATAAAAAAATGCATTAAATATTTTATGTATACTTTCTTTAGTTTTTGATTTGTTTGTCTTGTGTTTGAATCATAAACATGTGGTTATAAACTAAAAATGGTCAGAATAACTACTTTAGAAAGAATAATTGCTTAATAACTGGTACTTAAACCTCTAAATCCTCTATCAAAAGCTGAATTTTGTAAAAAAAAAAAGTCTAGGTCTTTCACTTCTGGGACTTCTTCAGCAAATTGAATTAAGAAAACAAATAATGTCCTTAAAGAAAGTTAAAAATTGGTGAGAAATATTTCCCTTTGATGCATCTATTTCACTTAATAATTTGGGAAAGCTGTTATCAGACACTCTACAGTTTTTTCAGAATCAAAATTAGCTTTCTGAACATTTGAAACCAAAATGTAATTTATTTTGAACAACATGTAGATAAACACTGAACCTAATTATGCAGTGACCACTTGGCCCCATGTTTCCCTGTTGAAATATTTGCACTCATAACCTCATTAGTTATTAACTCTTTCAACATGGACTCGGTCTCTGGAACCAACCTCATAATCATTTTGTGCTTGTTATAATTTTCATGCTATAGCTTTTAAGTTAGTAAGCTTATGTTAACAAAATTTGGCAGAATATCAGTAAACATTACAATTCTTTCATAAGCAAAATATCAAATATTTTTATTAAGTCTTAAGGTTTCTTACGCAGTGTTTTTCTCATGTCTTTTTTTTATTTTCGCAAGTTGCCAATACAATATGCAAAGTAATTTTTATTTTAATATTAAAAATAGTTTTATACATCAGAAAATTTTCTAATTTCACATATGAAATCTTTATAATGTCCAGATAGTTATCAAATGTTTCTTAAGAAAAAACTGTATATCTGTTATTTTTAGTAATTAATCTTGGTATGGGTTCAGTAGAATTGACCTTTCTTGCAACCACCATAAAAAATTAGAAAATAAATATAATTTATGTCTTTTTCATTCTAGAATGAACACCAATTATAACACAAAAACATAAATGTTTAGATTAAATAGCTTAAATCTCATAACATTATACATTTATATATATATATTTATTATATTTGCCTTTCAGTTTCAGCCATACCTGGCTAACAATACAGAAGTTACAATGACAAGGCACACTTGCTCTCACATTACTGTATCCAATAACATAAAACTGACACTTAGTCTTTACAGAGTGGCCAATTTTAGCAGTGTTTTAGTAATCTAGTATTTTGTAAAATACAGTCACATTTGAATTATTATACATTATACATATAAATAGATTATTACTATTTAGAAATAGTTCTTAACCTTATTTTTCTTAAAACATTGAAGAGTAAATAAGGAAGTGAAGCAAACAATTCACTCTTCTAATTATGATATTTGTACTCTCTTAATGTTTGACATAGGTTGCTGAGCCTTTCAAACTTTCACATGTGGAGGATATCACATATTTTTTTAGATCTTATATATACAGTTGAATAACCAAAACATCATAAATTTCTATATTGATACCATAGAATTCTACTATAATTTATCAAGCTTAGTAACTAAGCTGTATTTGGGTCTAAAGCATTATGAAATTTCAAGGAGGCTAAAGACACAACCTACCTCCTTGAAATCTTGGTTTGAAAGAACAAGATGGCATCCTAACACTTTAAAATGAGTGAGAAAGCCACTAGGGAGACATTCTGAGCTTTGATTGGTTATTCACATCATATACTGAAGTAAGTATGTATAAGGGACCATTTCCAAAAATGGAAAGAGATATCTCAGCAAATAGAAAAGATACAAGGTTCTTTTATATTCTAGCTTGTCAATATTGGTAATTTGAGTTCCTAGTTCATACGAAACTATAGACTTAGTATTTTGACATCACAGTGACAACCAGTGTTGCATTCAACATACCACATGACACACAAAACTATTGAATAATGTATAATACCAAAATTTGAATTATAAGTTAAAGTTTGATACCAAACTTATTGCCATATATAATTGAAATAGTAGTTCAATAAAATTTTCATTGCGAGTCAACAAACACGATGACATGGAAAGGGTTAACAATAAACATAAAATGTAATCCCAAATGGTACTATGTTCTCTGATCATTTGGTACAGAACACCCTTCTGAATCAGTTGAAAAAATCTCTCTCCCTCAATATTTGACTCCTTACAATCCCAATCAATGTGTATAACATGTAGCCTATAATTATTGCAACAGTATTCTTATAGAGAACCTGACATCATTACAAAATTTCTAATTGACTAATTCTGTCTGATCAGGTGTCCTATAAGTTAAAACAGCTACCAATTTGAAACTTTCTACCCTCAAAACACCTGATAAAAACCACACACACACACACACACACACATATATATATATATATATATACATATATAGTATTTCAACCCCTTGACTTCCATTTTTCAATCCTAACAGTCTGAAGATCATCCCTTGTATAAAGAGCCATCTGAGATTCTCTTACAAGTCCTTCATAAGTAAACAGCTTATAACCAGGAATTTCAAAATACTTATTATTATTAGTATTATTTTAATCTCACCAAGTTTCAGCAACTCACAATATATCATAATACTGTATTTTAATTACAGCCTTGAACTCTGTTTTTTCTTAATCATGTTCCAAACATTAGAATAACAGTTTATTCTTAATCCTACATTTATCATTAAATCTTACACTTATATATAACTATTTCTTCACTTGTTATGCTATGAACTTCATTTTTCCAAACTCCTCACTGCTTTAGCTATCCTGTTAATTTGTTTATTCCCAATTTCTTAAGCTCCCTTATCTCTATGCACATTAAATCAAACTATCATCAATAGCATAATAATACTTAGAGCTAAAAAAAAACCTCCCAGTGCCTTCCAACCTGCTTAATGTAGCCCATCTCTAGCATATAAATTATAATTCACCATTACTCTTAAACCTACTTCCCAGAGCTAACCATACCACATTTTACACAAACTTTTGAACTACAACAGGTCATACTTTCAGTGGTTTACTCGTTAGACCAGGGGTTCCCAAACTTTTTAGAACCGAGACCCACTATTCATGACCACAGCTTATGGCGACCCACTCAAATTTACTGGGCAAAAACATATGAAAGAATATTAAAAATATTATTTATTCATATTCACATATTTTCAATAACATTTCCAGAACTTATAAAAAGTTCTTCCTCAGCTTTT